AAAGATGATGTGGCATGACACATGGATTAGTTAAATGGTCAAAGCGCAGCAATTGACTAAGAGACACCGAATACTATTGAGAATTTATTGAAATACACATCTATTTGCTTCTTTACCATCGTTCTCAAAAGTATTTTATTTTTGCCTTCTGATTATCAGTAACCCGAATTTCTTTTTAGCTTTGACCAAAGACTCAGATTTTTGGTTAAACAGAATCTCTGTCCAATAAGTAAAGATCAGAATAGATATCTTAAGAGGAGAGTGTCCGTTCCATTTGACGTTCCAAAAGGAGATCTTCAAACCATTTCCAGCCAACGTACTACAATTCTAACCTTGTCTATCAGCCAAAAACCGGCTTCAAACATAAAGTAACAACACATAAGTGTGTTGCAATCACTACAAATGAGAGGGGCCAAAGATTTTATCAATAAGAAAAGACAACTGCAGCATGCAGAGTGGATTGGAAGCTTAGGAAATCCTATGCCATTTCTACATAATCCCGAGACACATCACTCCCTTCGAACATGGCAACAATGACTAACTTCTCTAGCACTTTTGCATTCTAGAGCAAATATTGTACCAATGACACTACAAACTTACTTGCACTTAGTGGTCCATGTAAGTGAATGATCTTGATGGCCAGATTTAGCAACGAGCAGTTAAAATTTGCCTTTCAAACCTCGTGTTGTGTCCATCTTCATTTGTGAAACCTGAGAACATGTACTGCAGGAAAAGAATCTGCTATATTAACTAGTTATTCTCCTTAGAAAGAAGTTTAGAGAATCAAGGAGATGATTGTGGATAAAACAAGAATGTGATGAATATACAGATTCAAGGAACATGTCAAGTGCTAAGCAAATTTTACGAGTTGATGCATGCAAACAACAAGATGGTCACCTACTTCCTTTTCAAACATCTTTTTCCTACAATTACAAAAAGACGACTGAAAAACCGGCTTAATCATAGAATCAATTTTGATAGTGACAACATGATTTTTCTCTTCATTTCCTCTTGCATTGCATCTGTTTACAATGAACTTGAGAATTTCAGTATAAACAACACAGCCAATAGACTTCCGAAATATCTAATGAATTATAGGACACTGCACTCAGGTCCAAAAGAATGGATTACTGAAAGGCACAAAAATTACAAGTATAGAACCTTTACTATAGCTACTGGGTATTCCCTTTGCAAATATATATATAACCTTTTTTATAGCTATTTGTCTATCCTAAAGTATCATAGCAGTCTTGTCTTGTTACCACTTGCACTCTTAACATCTGCTTGCTTACACATGCAATCTGGCATTGGGAATGTGTAGAGGGAACTACTAGATTTCTTTAACTCAACCCCTTTTAAATCACTATGATGAAGCATGTCTTGCAATTGGCGTTTGAAGTCGTTCCATCTGATATTCGGGCTGTCAAACAAAAGAGCCAATTTCCTTTTATCTGGTTTGATTGTCTTTGCATGTCCTTCATTCAGATATCTTCTGTGACCCACTAAGAAGTGCGGAAAGTTGCCACCCTGAGTTGTGACAAAGGCTTCACTATAAAGACAAACTGTATAATCAAGTGCTGCCAACCTAGATGAGTGTCCCTCGAATGGAGCAAGTTCTTCTCTGGAAGTTAATGTATCTTTTGATTCCAGACGCGGGAATATCTGTTTGAGTGGGGTCATATATTTCTCAGCTTTGTAAATTTTCCCCGCAGCAACATAAAGTGAGGTGTTATTGTCGAACCCCATGCCTCTAAGCATCATGCCTACCTCAAGTGGAGTTAGCGGGCACTTCCCATCGATTCGGTTTGCACCTGGCCTTATAACTCTTCCCCTTCGCCTGAATTTTCCTCTCCAACTTCTTTCACGGGCAATATCCATCTCATGTTTTTCTTCTTCCCCACCATCATATATACAGCACGAAAATGCAACCATATCCTCTTCAAAGCGGAGGTGCACCGAAACATATCTCCCACTCGTTTTCGAGCTCCTTTTTATCATTCGATCAACCATCTTTGCTGCAAGCATCCGTATGGGCTCTGAAAACCTAAGCGCTTCGAAATTGCACAAACAACGCAGCCCTTGTATATTTGGAGGAACCGAGTGGGCCAATCTGTTAGAAAAAGGCGCAATGCGAACAGCCCCCAACTCCTTCAGCTTAGGCAGGACCTTTTGAAGATAATAGGTTGGACTAGACCATGCCTTTACTCTCAAGTTAACAATGCTACTTATATTATTATCAAACTGAAGCAGTACATCTTCAGGGAGTTGACTGACCACTTTCACATGATTTCTTAGTGCATATATGAAGAAGTCCTCATCAAATATGTCGCCAAACTTGCTAGAATCTCGCCAAACACTGTTTAAATGAAAAATTGGAATCACAAGAGTAGCATTCAGTAATCCTGCAACTGCTACAGCATCACATATCGATAACCTTTGTTGGTTCAGTCCACCATTCGCTTCGATTATGAGGTACCCATTCGACTTTGGCAACTGAGCAGTGAAACCTTCTTGAGAAACAGAACAAGGCTTCCAAACTTGATGCAACTTGGGATTCCACACATTTGTTAACAAATTGGAGGATCCATTGTTGTAGGAATCCATGAAAGGCCAGAGCTTATCAAAAACCTGTGGGCTACGGTAAAGTGATCCAGGTGGAGACACCTCAGTTGTAGCAGCAGATGCATCAAAAAAGCCTAAAGTACCCATATATAACAACATTCCAGATATATACAATAAAGGAGCAAAAAGTAAAACTCCTCTTCGCCTATATACAGCAGATACTATCATAAAACCCAACTTTTCCTGCAGTTTTAGGGAAATACCTCCTCCACCTCCAACTCCAAAGGCAGCACTGTTCTTATTATTCCGCCCATGACGCAAACGAGGGGACGATGGCGGAGACACGCCATTCCCTAGCCGGCTTAGGCCGTGCATATTTGTGGACGCAATTGGGAATTTCTTCAAAACCACATAACCTGAGCTCAGCCGTCAGATCAGTGGTAGTTGCCGTTTGTGTTACTCTCAAAAACAGGGGAAGGAAAAGAAGCCCAACACTAGTATGGATATAAATATGTAAAACCTACTAAAGTCTCAACACGCATTAGATCTGAACCCACAATTTTAAGAGTAGTTTGAACTCATTAAAATAGATGAGAGAAATTGCAGAAGCTAAATATTACTGAACGGAGTTATTTCGTACTGTATTGATAGAAAAAAATAGTATTAGGGCAAAACAGTTGGGAACACTAAAAAAATGGTGGAATATTGATGGTGGTGGTGGTGGTGATGATGATGATAGTGGTGGTGGTGGGGAAGTTCTAACTTTTAACTATATATATATGGCTGTCAAAGGCTCACCGACACTGACAGTGGGAGAGTTTTGATAACTTAGTTTGAAAAAAGGGAGAGAGAGAGAGATAGAGAAAGGAGTCCTTGACCAATGGCTTGGATTAATTCTTTCAAAGATGTAATAGGCCTTTCGGCTGCTGACGAAGGAAATAGTTCATAATTATTGCTAACTTATGGGCCTGTCCCATCCAGTATGGCCCAGTCTATGCAGGCCTTGAAGTTGATGAATTGGGTCGGGCCGGTCCACCATTTGGATGGGCTTAAAGTACATAAATATTATGTAAAAATAGCACGGTATAGCCAGTTTTCGGACTGGTCATTCAAAAATAGTCAGCGTTTACCAAGTCAATAAAAAATAGTCACTATTTTGATGCAACAGAGACCGATCCAGCATAATATACTGGAATTCGGTGCACCTGTGTATGAACTCCAGCATATTATGTTGGACCGGTATACTTTGGTGGCTCCAATATAATATACTAGAGACTGGAGCACCGGTGCTCCAAACTCCAGTATATTATGCTGGACCGGTATACTTGCTAGAATTCCGGTATATTATGCTGGAGTTCTAATGTACTTATGCTGGAGTTCCAGCATACTTATCTTGGAACTCCAGTATAATATGTTGGAGTTCAAGTATACTTATGCTCAGATTTATCTTTACATGAGTATAATTATACTTATACTTATAATCAAGTATAAGTATACTTATGCTGGAACTCCAGCATAATATACTGACGTATTTTTTGGGTTTTGAACAGTGCTTTCGCTCAGATTTATCTTTACATGAAAAGTGATAAAATTTCGATTACTTTTGAAACTGGACTATTTTTGAACGACCAGTTGTAAATGTGGCTATTTTTGAATTTCTCCCAAATATTACACGATAATGCTTAATTTTCATGAGGGATTTTTTCGTTCCTATACACTATTTGAAACCGTATTATGAACAATGTCCAAGTATTTGTATTTACCCGACCTAAACACGTTTTAGCTACAAAATATATAATCCACCTTAAAAGACTCTCAATCCATTATTAGTGCCTTCAGTCAAGGGATTTAGTTATGCCTTTTTTCCTTTTTTTCTCTCCTCTCTCCCCTCTTCTCTCCACATCGAACTTATATTTAGGGATTTCTGTTTGATAATTGTTTCGGTCTTTTTTTTTTAATCCTTAAAAAAAACAATATCTCTTCTCGTTGTCAGTTTGACACATATGTTAACTGTGGATGTCGTGATGAAGCTGCCAATGTCTTTAATGATGTCAAAGTATATGACACTATCTTGCTTAATTCTATGATTACTGGTATTTGTTTTAGTTCCAACATAATTGAAGAGGCCAGAAAGTTATTTGAGTCAATGCCCTATAAGAGCTTAATATCTTGGAACTCCATGTTAATAGGTCTTAGTCAAACTGGTTGTCTAGTTGAAGCACTGGATCTTTTCCGCAGGATGAATAGGCTGCAGTTTAGGATGGACAAATTTGGTTTTTAAGTGTGATCAGTGCCTGTACAAGCATTACATCAGTTGAACTTGGTGAACAGATTTTTGCAAGAGCTGTTATCATCGGCATTGAGTGTGATCAAATAATATCTACCTCTTTAATTAATCTTTTGATTTATACATAGTAATTATATATTATACAACTTATTTATAACTTTCATATTTTATTTCCCGTTGTCATCACTTTTATTATTTTTTGTGAACATCTGAAGGAGATGTAGAGGATCATCAAATATGTCAACACCTGAGCTACCTGCTACTAGATGAGCTCCATATCGATATTTCCACTAGCTGCATGCCAAGCCTGGACTTGCTAAAGTTGGATCTATTATAAAGTCGAAGACATCAAATTCTGGTGCTTGTTCAACGACTACTTCATGTTGGGTAAACTGTTGTGGTTCTATCTACTGCGCATCGATACGTGGAAATGCAAATCTTATATTCTGAAAAGCAAATGAAGGGAATATAGCAGGTATGCCAGTCATGCGTAATGCTATTGTAACGTTCGATAATACATTCGCTATTGAGCAAAGCATAGTAGCTGAGTAGAGAATGTTCCGTTTGAATAGTTCGCGGAACATTTATCTCATCGCGCATCATATGTCGAAGCATGTGAAGAATTAATTTCAATTTTTGTTTGAGTCTCATGAATTCAATGTAGTATTAACGCCTCTGCTGTGGGGGCGCCTTTAGCTCGTTAACGTTCTCCAGGAGGACCAACACTTGGCCCGAGAGCTTGAAGAGTGGCCATTCTAATATGTGATGGAATGAGAAACCTAGAGTCAGGTGATGGACCTGCACTACAAAAAATAGGAATTAGCGACCGAAAAATTCGTAGCTAACAAGAACAATCGGTCGCTACTCCTATGTAGCAACATATTAGCAAAAGATTATCAAATTTTGTTAACTACTAGCAATTTAGCAACTAGACTAGCGATGAAGTTCGTAGCTAAATTCAATTTTTTGGTAGTATTTGTCCAAACATGCATATTGATTTAGTAATGATTGAGCCATAATAAAAAGATGTCATCGTTTTTTTCGCCTGACACCTCTTCATTTTATCATAGAGCACCCATCCAACGTTAATAATTAAAATGATTTTAGCAATGACATATCACTACTAAACATTAGCAATGAAATTTGTTATGCTTGATGATGATTTGTTTGGGAAGTGGTAGATATGATTTATTTATGAAATTAACAGTTCTCTGTTTACGTTCAAGGTACATGGCTATTGTACCTTGAATGTAAACAGTTAATTTCATAAATAAATCTTATCTACCACTACCCAAACAAATCATCAGCAAGCATAACAAATTTCAATACATCATAATAAAGGAAAAGGTCACCACCATTTTAAAGGCAGAAGATTCAATCCAATGAACATAATAGAACGGAAATCTAAGATAAAATATTTGAGAATTATCAGTACGTAGTATCTGTCATGCTTAGAGTTCTATAAACAATGTAAGGATAAACTAGTTGTCTCCCCTGTCAATTCTTGACGTCCCACTGAGATTTGCTTATCCCCAAATCGAGGGCGACTCTTAAGGTTCGAGAAATAGATCGAGTGCTGGAAAGGCATGGCGAATCCAGAAATGTTTCTAAGGGTATTCAAACTTGAAAGAAGTAGAAAAAAAAATTCCATAAAGGGTGTTCAATATAGGTTTTATATATCTAAAATTAATATTTTACTTATATATACAATGTAATTTTTCGTAATTTTTCAGCGAAGGGTGGTCAATCAAGGTGGCTTCGCCCATGGAAGTGAGTCCAAAGAAAATGGCAGAAAATTCATAGTAGACAGCTCCGATTTTGCGACAACCTCAACAATGTCGTGAATACGAGACAATGGCATCAGTTTTTTGGGTCTAAGAAAAGAGGAAGATTAATAGGGTTTTTGAGAAAAAATTGTAGACGAGGCATATACTTAATATATTTTTAGTTTAGTAATTTTACAAATGTAAGCAAATATCTTTCATTAGCTATAAATGTCAGTAAATACCGACTCATATAACAACGTTTTTATTAATGGTTGCAATAACTGTGTTATTTTTTTATTAAATGTCATTGAATTTATGGCATTTTTTATTAAGTGTCATAAAATTAATCTTTTTCTGACATTTATCTCACACGTCACTGATTAAATGTCGTCGTAGTCCTCTTTTCTTGTAGTGTATCTTCTCCTTCTCCTCCTCCTTCTTCTTCTTCTTATTATTATTATTATAAACAGAAAGCTAAAAAGAAATTATATATGTAAGTAGAATGTTGTTATAACACTGCCTACGTACACATAACTGGAAATGATACTAAGAGGTATATATAACTACATATGATAATTTTACCTTAATTATTTTAGTATATTAGACTTTAAATAATCTACCTATCTATCTATATCTATATCTATATCTATATCTATATCTATATCTATATCTATATATAAATCTACTATATTATATTAAAGGCATGAAGGTCCTTAGTGAATATTTAGGATTTAAAATCAACTAAAATTTGACATATTAAATAATTTTCTTATTTGAACTGCTATTTAAAAAGTCCTAATATTTAGGATATTATAATCATTAGAATTTACCTTATAGAGCTATATGGTAAAATATAGAAATTAAGTAATATATAAAACCTAACCTACGAAACTTCATATAACATATACTTTCTTGAACGTGAAAAATCCAAAAGAATTAAAAGAATCGAATTCAATTTGACATTGATTTTGTTTTTTATCTAGGCCGTGTACATTTTTCTTTTTTCTTTTTAATTTTAGAAAATAAGTTGAGCACAAATTTTATGTAAGACTTTTGTGAGAAAATAAGTAATAGTTAATAGTAATTGATATTGAGCATTTGTATAAATAAAAGTATATATCGTCTATCCTTCTCAAGCTTAAGGTGGAATTAGAATTCCAGTAGAATATCTTTTCTAGGAGTGCTGGAAGAATTTACTAAAAAGTTATCACTGTAAATTTTGATATTGTTACTTAGAGTTCTAGTACAATAACTCTATTCGTTCTAGGATGGCTTGAAGAATTTACTTAATCTTTCAACAACAACAACATACCCAGTAAAATTCCACACTGTAGGGTCTGATTAATTTTTCAAAAACAAACTAATAATATTAATATTTAAAATTTGTAATGAATCTAGAGTTTCTAACACTTTGATCATTTCTTGTGTTGAAATTCAATACCCACTTTAAGAATTAGATAATTCTTCCAAGTCAACATCATATACCTGTGGCAATATTTTAAACCTTTGTTGACAAATGTGTTAAGAAGACCATGTGGAAGCCTTCTAAAAGGAAAGAGATAAATGGCAAGATGCATGCAAGAGAATTGACAAATGGCAAGAAAAGCCTTAAGCTTTTTTGTCTATAAAATGGTCTTCCCTTAAGCCAATTTTAATCATTAGACATCCTTCTCATATGTCTCTCTCTTCTTTCTTCTAATTCATTTTCTATAATATTTAATTAACATTACACATTAGTTGTTCTTCCTTTTTTCCTACTAGCTGAATTTGTATAATATTTAATTTTGTTGATTCTTGTATCCTCCCTAATAGAGGTAGACTTGTTTAATTCTGGAGAGACAT